CTTTCCAAGGAACTACTTTATCCCATTTTGGACAGATTTCATGATTTAAGTTGCAAGTCACCTGCCCAAGCCTCTTTCTAGTGCATAGAACCCACTTTCTGATAACCAGACAGTGGTCAGGAGATGGCAAATAGAAGCTGCCCACTGAGGAAGCACACGCTGGAAAGGAGTGGTTGGAAGCCAGGAGAGGGGAGTGGGGAGGGGAGAGAGAGGAAGGCTGGGCACTGGGGGCAGACACATCAGCTGTGTTTTCTTAGGTGTTTAGGTAGTGCTCCAAGCACCAAAGAATCAAGGGGATCTCTGGTTCCAGGCCAATCGTAGAGCACAAATTAAAGAGCAGTATATTAAAAATGAACAAGTAATCCTATATAATAAAAGGCTCATATGCAAATCAACCAAATGGCAGAACAACCAGTCGCTATGACATGCACTGACCACCAGGGGGCAGACACTCAATGCAGAAGCTGCCCCCTGGTGGTCAGTGCGCTCCCAAAGGGGGAGTGCTGCTCAGCCAGAAGCTGGGCTCATGGCTGGCGAGTGCAGCAGCAGTGCGGGAGCCTCTCCCACCTCCATGGCAGCGCTAAGGATGTCCGACTGCTGGCTTAGGCCCGCTCCCCCATCAGTCAGACATCCTCCAAGGGCTCCCGGACTGCAAGAGGGTGCAGGCCAGGCTGAGAGACCCCTCCACCCCCACATGAATTTCATGCACCAGGCCTCTAGTAGACGATGTTTTCTTTATTCAAAGCCTTGATTCCAGCTTTCTGTCCCCCTCAGCTTCCAGGCAACCTTCTCAGGATAAATTGGTCACATTTGGGGAAAAACATCATTGAACAGGGCACTTTAAGATTTTGTGATGTCCCATATGCTAACCACACTTGGTCAAGTGTAAGCCTGTGTGCATGTTAGCTCTAGCTCTGGGGATTTTGTTTTTTGTCTTGCTTTTTAGAAGGGAGAAGAAAGTGGGAGAAAGAACTTGATTTCAGGTTTAAATAAAAGGCCTTAAAATACCTCAATTCTCAGGAGGATATTTCAAGGAAAATAAATGTCTGAGGTTAAAATTTTGAGAAAATGAGAATTAAAGATCTTGTGAAAAATACCCTTTGAGGATGTGTGCACAGCAAAGGAAAGGCCATGTCCTGGGCACGTTGCAGCTCTTTGTGAGGGCGGCCAAGAGGGGACATTGCATGGATCCCCAGTGGCTTTCCTCATCTCCTGATGCAGCTGTTCGGACCCACATGTGACATTGTAAGGTGACAGCCTGGTGAGGGGGGACAGCCAGACAGGCTCTGCTCAGACCTGCCTTCATTGTATGATGCTGAGAGTCACTTAACCTCTGAAACCTTCACCTATGAAATGAGCATCATACTTTTTCTCATCACAAAGGGTTATAATAAGGATTCAATGGCAAAATAGGTGTAGGATGGTTAGCACAGTGGCCGACACATAATATGTTTCCAGTAAATGGACTATGTACTCATTGTCATTGCCATTGTGTGCCAGCCGCGTTCTGTTCCTCTTCTTCCCTCTTTTGAAATGAGAGCATCTAGTCGTAGTTGCTTTGCCACACATGGCTGTCTATGTGCTCGCTCCTTGACCCTGTTTCTCTGAAATTGGCTAGTTGAAGGTTAAAAGGGAAGAAACTCAGATTTAATGCTTTCTGGCAACACTGATTAAAAAACAAGCCTAGCTAAAGACAGTCATTTTCATATCACACTACCACGTACCCTTCAGTTTAGCATCAGTCTGTGACAACACAAAGGAACAACTGTTCTGATTTTGTAAAAAACACTCCCTACTTGCCTGGAGGAGACAAGCTTGATACGCATGTTTATGACACTGCACATACAGCTTTTCCAGTTGGTCCTTGAACAACTCAGGTTTGAACCGCGTGGGTCCACTTACTAGTATATGTGGATTTTTAAATAACTATGTAAATTTATTTTCTCTTCCTTATGATTTTCTTAACGACATTTTCTTTTCCCTAGCTAACTTTATTGTAAGACTACAGTTCCTGGATTTTTGACTGTGCAGGCAGTTGGTACCCCTCATCCCCATGCTACTCAAGGGTCAACTGTGCTCTGCTCTCCCACTGGGGTAGCAGACCTGAGGGGGAAGGTCAGGCCGATAAGAAAGTTGAGTGTCCCAGCTGGACCCTCCAAAAGGACTGCTTCGCGCTGAGCTCTCCCCTCTCTGACCTGGTCTTGCTCTGACCTCTTCTCGTCATGATTTCTAGATGCGGACAGCAGTGATTCGGAACTCTCCTTCATCATGTTCAACGCACACTCTCCAACACGGTCGCTTCAAGAGAGACAACGGACACAACAAATAACCACAAGGCAGAGTTCAAACAGAGGAGGGAAGCCGTCCGGCTCTGGCTATCAAACAAGTCCAAGCCAAGAAGAGCATGTTGGCCGGAGCAAAAGGGCTTTGAGGCCCAGACCGCTGTTTCACACCGTGGATGAGGAGCGTGAATCTGGAGAAGAGAGTGGGGAAGAGGCCTCAGCCCCGGGCGCCAGACAGTCGGCTGAGCACAGGAGGGAGCGCCGCAGGTCTTGCAGCCCTTTGCTCCGAAGGAAATAGTCGTGTTGTGCACAGGGTTGCTCGCGCTTCCCCGGAGCCATCTCCCTGTTGTGTGGGTGGAGGGTTTTCAGAATTCTGAAGAAAGCTACTGAGTTTGCTTTTTTGAAGCTGAGTCAGGCATCTGTAAGAGGCAGGGGGTTTCGGAGGACGGGGAGCACTAACTTGCAGGCGGTGCCATATTCTTAGCTGGTATACTTTGTAGATGCTTTCCTGTGAGTCAAAGACCTTTATCACCCCAGAAATTATTCACTAAGAATTTCTAAGAGTGTGTGATCCATTTAATTTATCGAGATGCAATGTGGTTGGTAATTTACCTTCACAATATGCACGTACAACTTACAGTCAAGGTAGCCCTCAGAGGAGCCCTAGAAATATTCTGACCCAACTCCGTGAGGTTACAAATGAGGACATCTTGCCCAAGGTCACGTGGTGAGTTGCTGCTTCACAAGCTAATTGACCTCCCTCCCAGGAGAATGCATTTGATTTTAATTTTGATACGCACTATTCAGTAATTATGGGGAGAGGTAAAACTTATCATAGCATTGCTATACTTAATCAGTAGCAACAATAGATACAGATAAAGAATTAATCTACAGACAATGATCTTGTCTATATTATAATTAGAATATTTCTTTCAAAAACAAATATTAGAAACAAAATAGCCATAATCAGGCTTTAAATAGCAATTATATACCAGGTATTTATTAGATGTGCATTTTTAAGGTATGATATTTTGCCCTAAGGATTGAAACTATTCTCCAATTTAATTTTCCATCTTCATTGACCCCAAACTTGACCTTGAACCTCACACTCCAGCTCACCAACTATGTTAGATGGCTTTATCTTTCCTTCCTCTTCTCTGTCTTCTGGCCACCGAGATATTTAAGATTTATGAAGTACTATTTATTGTGCCAAATGGCTAATCTATAAAGATAAATTAACCATCTGTCCTTTATCGCTGCTATTTTTGACATCTCTGAGCATCACCAACGGACTTAACCCTGTGCATCTTTCAAGGTTGCCCAGCTCCCCAGAGCCTTGTCCTCTGGTGTTACCCCATGCTAGTGGCTGATGAAAATGCAGGACTTCCCACAGGTTTATAGTTTGTGAATGGCACTCACTCAGGTTCGGCTGCAGTGGTAGAAATGGCAAAGGAACCATTTGTCTTTCTTCTTCTGAATCTAAAATACAAGACTGCTTCCAAGTTGTCTAAATATTTGCATCTTAATAAAATTGTATACTACCACATACTAGCAATCAGCCCAAAGGGACAAAGCACATATAAGACCCAGGGATCTCTGGGCTTTTCTTTTTATTTAAACAAACCAGCAGTCAAAGCCACAAAAAAAAACAAACAAACAAAAAAAAACCTATGGCCCTGGAGTTACTACCCTTAAACCGTAGATGGACAGACAGAGACAGAGGGGGGTTGTCAGAAATCACCTTTCCAAATCCACATGCAGGCCGGTTCTTGAGAGGTGGGCCTGGTCCCTCACTGGACTTTCCACACAAGCCAGAACCCGTCCTGCGGAGGCCCTTCCGGGGCTGCCCCGGGGCTGCGGGGAGTCACCTGACTGTGCTATGGAATGTGGAATTTATGAAACTGGTGCAGAAGTGACAGTCGGACACTGTGAGGGTCAGGAAAGAGCCTTTAATTAAAGCAGCGTTGCTGGTTCAGGGTACTCTAAGATCCAGATCCTGAACCGCCTGGACAATGAGATTTTTCTCTCTATATATTGAAGGGGTTAAAAAGAACAAAACAGGGCAGAGAAAGATTCATTGTGCTCTGCAGATATCCTGCAGAAAGCTTGCAGCCTTGAGCACAGCATAGCTCAGATAATCAGGAGACACCTGGCATAGGAGGAACTAAGGACAAACCAGGCCCGTCTCCCACATTCTTTCACAAATGGAGTTAATTACCGGCTAGCAAGAGAGTGCAGTAGAAAGCAGGTTACTGGGACAATTTCAGATTGCTAGCCCCCCGAAAATGTCTCATTTTCCCTATCAACTACGGTTCTTCTCAGAGAGGCTGGCTCCATTTGGGAGACGGTTAGGCTTCGAGAGTAGATTGGAATGTTCTCCTTTAACTGGTGGAAGCCATAATGGAGTTGTTTTCCCAGAGGACTTTGCTCACCTAGACACTGTCTGGTTAGGGCTGCCCATGTCTGAGAAGCAGCCCTGGGACCTGCCTGGAAGGCACGGCGGGCGAGCAGCACGCAGTCCTGGTGGCTCTGGTAGACTCGGAGAGCTCGTGGTGGGCTGGCCTCTTTGTTTTTCATCCAAGATGGCTTCAAAATGCAGTGTGATCTGATCGTTCCTTTCGTAACTCGGGATGACTTGAGGGTATAACAGGTGCCCGAGGGATGCTCTAGTTTCCCAGGACAAGTGTTTTGAGCAGACACCACACAACTCAGCAGCGAAAGGTTCCTCTGGAGTGCTGAGGAAGATCTGGCTCTTCTTCCTTCCTCGGCTCCGGGAGGGCTGAATCCCATGAGGGGTGCTCTCCCGGCCTGCTGCTCCAGGCCTGCTGCTGCTGCTCCGGGCCTGCTGCTCCGAGCCTGCTGCTCCGGGCCTGCTGCTCCAGGCCTGCTGCTGCTGCTCTGGGCCTGCTGCTCCGGTCCTGCTGCTCTGGGCCTGCAGCTCCAGGCCTGCTGCTCTG